TGCATTCACTTGAAGAAAAAAAATCTACTCTGTTTTTCTGAATTAATGAGTTAATTATCTCAGAATTACGAGAAAATGTTTCATGGAAAAAAAGTTTATTCACTCGTTAATTCAGAAAAACAGCAAAAACTTTTTTTTTCATGAAAAATTATCTCGTAATTCTGAGATAATTAACTCATTAATTCAGAAAAACAGAGTAGATTTTTTTCTTCAAGTCAATGCAATACGCTTCCGTTCTTATGTTACCTGTTTTTCATTAAAGGCTTTTTATATTTTTTCCTTAAACTCTCAGTGCCTTGGCTTGATATGTTTTTTTGTTGTTGTTGATATGTTTTTTTGTTTTGTTGATATTTTTGTTGTTGTTGTTGTTGATATGTTGCTGTTGTTGTTGTTGTTGTTGAATTATCCCTACACACAAATAGCACCGGGATACGGATTCTACACCCCACGCAGCACTTTTTGCATTACTTGTTTTATGAAAGGTCAAACACTATTTTAAATACAGTATGCATCACAGTTAAAAAAATAAGTACTATTATTTACAGTAATGGCAATGAGACTATTTTTCACTTCATAATAATGAGAATTTTGTAATGAAGAATAATGTCACTATGCAAAAAATACATAAATAAAATAAATAATCTTGGACATTCTTTTCTTTTTATATTTCAAATATTTGCTGTCGTCTTAAGACGCAAACTAACAGAAGCTTATCTTGGGACATAAACAACTGCCTCGTGAGGCTTTGTTTTGAAGTTGAAAAGCGCTCTATTTTTGCGAGTGAGTGGGTTGTGAGGGGGTAGGGAATTCTTCTCTTGTTCTATATTAATGGACACCATTTTGAGGAGAGAGGAGGAGGAGGTGGAGTCAGGACATGGCCTGGCTTGTTAGGAATGTCATCCCAAAGGCACCTCCCTCCTTCCCACTTCAAAACGCATATCTACATCCAGGCCGATGGAGGTAGCACTGAGGGGGTGGGGGACGTTTCAAGATATCATCACTCTCAAGTGGTCAGGCCCGTACTTGAAATTATGTAACAGAGCGCCCCACCAAATAAGGAACTGGGAAAAAGGGAAAAATAGAGCCAAACCAGGGAGTTTTAGATGGGGTTTTCTTAGGGAAAATGCTGACAAATGTTTGACGATTTTCTAGGTCTGTTTTTGTTTTGCTTCAGGCATGCTGTAGGACATAGAATGTTATATTCATATTTTTGTTGAGCACAGCTGAAATACAGCAGGAAGTGGGGAAGACTTCCACTTCCTGTGTTCCGTCTGCTCAGTCACTTGTGTCAGGATGCGTTTAAAGCCCTGAGGAACCCTCTGGCTCGCACAGATAACGTTATAGGGTCAAGGGTTGTGAACAGGCAGGGAATCTCTAGGATGTCCTCTGTGTGGGCACTGGGCAGGCGCATTTAGAGTTCGGTTATAGCCTTGGACTTCTGACGATTGTTTTTACACTTCAAAATTCATAGTTGTGTTCATTTGTGAAGATTATCAAAAAGTATCATAAGCTTTTGTTAGTCACAGACCTTATTTTCTGCAATAAGCCAAAAGCCAATTGGGATTTTGTCGAGGGAACCAGGGTGATGCTAATTTCCGGGTTGGCCTACTAAAATATCTCTCTATAGAGAATGCAATTTTTGGGCATTAAGTTTCTGCAGAAGCAAAGCTGGCAAACTGTCTGCTCTTCCTCTTTTCACTTGCATTTCTACTTGCTCTCGCATTAGTTTGATCAACTCCAGTCAGGAGACTTCACACAATCTGATGCAGGCTTTCAGCTGATGTTTGGAATTAGTAAAACTTATGAAGTACCTTTTTCCATCTTCATGAGTACATTCATTTGGACAAGTTCGCCTAAAGCTGCAGCGTATATTATAATAATTTTACATTTATTATGCATGCGGCTTTGACTGGCTCATATTAGATGAGACTATGCGTGTAATAATCATTTGTACTTTTAAAAAATCATTTCTGCAGGATTTATAATAATAACTAGAGGGAAAACATTACAAATGATGAGAAACTTCCCCTTCCCCTAAATATATTTCTGATTCATCCTTAAAGGGTTAGTTCACCCAAAAATTTAAATGAATAATTTACTCTCCCTCAAGTCATCCTAGGTGTATATGACTTTCTTCTTTCAGCCGAACACAATCGGAGTTCTATTTAATAATATCCTGGCTCTTCCAAGCTTTATAATGGTAACTGAGATATTGAAGCACATAAAAGCACATCCATCCATCATAAAGTAGTAATCCATATGACTCCAGGGTGCTAATAAAGGCCTTCTGAAGTGAAGCGAAACATTTTTGTAAGAAAAATATCCATATTCGTAACTTTATAAACTATATTCACATTCTTCCAGTAACGGCCCTCCTCGAAGGCCTTTATTAACCCCCTGGAGTCGTATGGATTACTTTTATGATGGATTGATGCGCTTTTTTGGGCTTCAAAATCTCAGTTACCATTCACTCCCATTATAAAGCTTGGAAGAGCCAGGATATTATTTAATATAACTCTGATTGTGTTCGGCTGAAAGAAGAAAGTCATATACACCTAGGATGGCTTGAGGGTGAGTAAATTCATTTTCATTTTATGGTGAACTAAACCTTTAATTTTTCAACTGACCAACATGTTGTTGGCCCATTTTCTAGTGTTTTATGTTCCATATTTGCTGCTTTGCAGTGTTTCAACATCCCAGGAGTGTTATTTTTCTTCTGTTTTTTGGCAGTGACATTTTAAAGAGTCAGGAAACGCTAAACAACATTTTCTGAAATGTTAACAGATATGCCAACGCTATCTCACGACCAATTCGCCTTTGGCTAAGCCACACCCTAGAATGTAGATTGACCAATCACAGCGCAGCCAAGAACGAGCTCCCACAGAGGTCCGACACTTTTTCACAGCGCTCCATTGATTTTAACAGAGGCGTCTCATATTTTTGGTCTCGGCAGGCTATTACCGTCGTAGTTTTATCAAAAATATGGTTACACGTTGTTCCTGGGGCATTTGTAACACAGATACGCGTTTCCCAGAGAGGTTGGAGGGGGGTGTCTGTTTTTTTCCCTTCCCAAACTGAAGTCAAATCCTGACAAGTGTCGCCTAGCTCACGCTGCTAATAAATACAACGTTATACTCGCGTAGTCCGTTTGCTTTGTAATAACGATTATAGAAGTGAATAGAGACCTACCCAGCTTTGCACGAACAGTGTTGCTCCTTGATATTGTTAGTCCCAGCCTCCGTCTCGATTAGTAGGATATGCGGTGGTTCATTTTTTGACTGTGACCGGTATGCTTTTACCTCTATTTGGATGCCTTGTTGTTCCTTGCGTTTCACCTGTATGTCGTGAATATAGCCTTCGAACGTATATTGCAGCCCCCCTTTGCCTACTTCTATCGGACACTTTATTTGCTGCTTTATAAAAGTTTGATAAAATTTCAGCTGGAAGAGCTGTCACAGCATAAGCCATGTTGATACCAGAGCCCAGATGAAGTTTGTTTGTTGGACCTAGCAACAGTAACTAAGGGGGGCGGGGGTTAGCCAAAGGCGAATTCGTACGAGTGATTAAAAGCTGGCTAATTCATACTAATTCATACGACCTCACTCGTACGAATTTGTACGATTTGTCTAAACCCACGTGATGGGTAGGTTTAGGGGCGGGGTCAGGGGTAGGTCATTCGGACGAATTCATACGAATTTAATAACTCGTAAAATATGTACGAATTAGCAAAAATCGTACGAATTTGTACGAGTGAGGTCGTATGAATTAGTACGAATTAGCCACCTCGTAAAATTCGTACGAATTGCCGTGAGATCGGGCTGGATATGCTTGCTTTGCTTATCATAAAAGATGATGATAGCATCTGTTAATTTTAAGGAGAAAAAGGTTGATTGTGGATTTCACACTCTTAGAAGAAAAGGCTCTATATGGAACCTTAAAAGTTGGCTTCATATAGAACCTTTTATGGGAAACCATCATGTGATCATTTGACTGATTTAGTGGAATTTTTTTTTTGTTTTAATTAATTTTATGAATGAAACTGCTCGTAAACATACTTTATCACTAAAAAAAAATGAAATGACCCATTAAACATTCAATTATTATGCAATCATAAAAGACATTTTTTCCCTTACATAGAACCCTTTTGGCTTAAAATTAAGTCAAGACCCCTAGGTTAAAGTATGGCATAGAACTGCATTCTGATTCTGATTCTGGATAAATTAAGAATCACATTTTTTTTTTTGTTTATTTTGTTTCAAATAATGATCCCATGATTCTTACGAGACAGCTATATCAAAACAACATAATTTATTTATTTAACGTAGTTTACTAGAGGTTCTGACAAATTGTTAAATTAATTTAAATTATTTTTTAAAAATCGCTTTGAATGAATGATTCAATGACTCACTTATAAATACTTGGTTCATCGCTGGATGAATCAGTGTTTTTGAACAAATCTTTTGAATCAATCCAATTACAAAAACATTTTATAGACAGTCACTTGTCGCCACCTACTGGTGTAACGATGTTAACGATATAATCGTTATCCGAAGAGCCATGTTTATCTCTATTCTGATTGCTGCCATAGACATCAGTGTTTAAACTTTTGTTTTATCCCAGTACTTCTGTGATAATTTGAATATTTGCAACACAGAAATATTGATTATGTGTGGTTGAAAAGCTGTTTCATACCTATACATGATCGGAATGTCCCGGTATGATTATGTGAATGGTTTAATAAACATTGCCGAATCGTTGTCATTTTGGAATGAGATCGTGTGGGTGTTTGAATCGAGATCGGGATATTTTAATGATTAATCCTGCATCTGTAGTATGGCATGGCGAAAATAATCAGTATGAAGAAAGTGTAATGCTTCCCTATAATAATATCATAAGTTGTAACCATTGTGGGAGGTGCAACAGCTACCTGAAAAAGGAATGCCAAATCAAAATAAGTAAAAAAAAAAATTTGTATTACAGATTTCGATTTTGTATTACAGGACCAATATGACATCCTTGATAAGCACACACAATCTGGCTTGGACTTGGTGGAGAAATACGTGAAGTTTGTGAAGGAGCGAACAGAGATTGAACAGAATTATGCCAAGCAACTACGGTAAGAGATCTTACTATCTAGGCTATCCTGTTGGCCTGTTTGATTGTGTACATGTCTATGCATGCTTGTGAATGTTTATCCAGAGTTGGGGCTGATTGTGAAATATTCGGGCCCCGTGTACAGGGCAGAACTGAACTTGTTGGCACCTCTGAGCTGTAGCGTTGGCCTCGGCCCAGAGGATAAGCGTATCCGCGCCTGCTCCCCTTCTTATTCATGACTATGCCTTGACACTTACTTGATCTCTGCCAGACTGTTCAGAGTTCCACACGCTTGCCTCTTTCTTTCCTCCCTCCCTCCCTCCCGCTCGCTCTGAGAGAAGAGGGGAAGTGGGAGCAGACGAGCATATGACTGAGGGGATGTGGAGGGATAGAGTGAAAGTGTGGAAAGCTTAACATTGGCTTCTGTCTCGGCTTGTCGTATGCAAAGGAAGGAACCAAATGCACCCTGGTTTTGATTACGATGGCCTTCCTTATTTGACACATTTCATTGCTTTCAGTTTGTAGTCCAGCTCTTTGGGATTACACAATTGTGCTTGGTCAATCGAAACTGAAACACACCACAGTGAGTGTTTGATGTACGTCTGAGCTTCTGTCCTTACTGACCGCGACAAATTGCAGGACCAAGGGGCCAATGACTTTAAAGAAAATGACAAATCCTTTAAAGGTTTATAATTTGCATTTATGCTGGCTTTTTTTAATGACTTCGAAAAACTTTTTTAAATAAAAGTACAAATTTAAGGACTGTAATCATGTGGTGTGACCTTAAAGTAAAAGTACATATATCCTAAGTAACAACATTAGTTCATAAAGAATAGAGTCGCACCACATGACCAGTACAACCTGAAATAACTTTCCCATTTAAAAAAATGGCATATTTTATTAATCTTGACACATGGTGACACATCACTTACACTTAACATACATCACTTCACTTTGTCTATCGTACCACATGATTTTTATTTTATTTTTTAATTTGAAGCATTTTTTTTTTTTAAATCCCAAAAACTATAATCAAAAGATTATGCCTAATTACTTCGCTTTTCTCTTTAATGAGGCTTTTTTTCTTCATTATGATATCAAACAGTTGCATCATCACCATGACATTTTAACCCCCCCCCCCCCCCCCAAATAAATGTACATTTTCAAGTCACATTTATTTGAATAGCACTTTTCACAACATATATATTGTTTTAAAGCAGTCTAATTGTTTACATTACAATTTAGATTGATCTGTTATATTGTTACGTCCCTATTTACGATGTCTAGGGAATAAGGGAATAACACTTTTTAAAAATTGTGTGTGTACCTCAATGTACAGGACAGAGCAAGAAAAAGAAACCGACCTCAAAACTCACCTCGAAAGGATTTATTAATCCACAGTGCCATGATGAGTGAGTGAAGAAAATAATATTTACAATATATACAAACAATGAATGAGAACAATAAACAAGATAAACATTTTGTACACAAACAAAACCTAAGGTGGGAAGGCGAGCACGAGAGATGCCAAATTAAACAAATCAATAAAACAGAACAAACTAGCTATAGGTTAATTCAACTAAGCTAACTGCCAAACAAAATATAGAAAAGAAAAGTCTTCGGCGTCAAGACGCTCTAACCAAAACTACACTAACTATATTATAACAAAACTTACAAGATGGGCACTCTCCAAAACTAGTGTTTCTAACACTCAAAATATCCTAAGTGGTGCAAAGTGTATATCGCGCGACCTACTAACCTGCTCCCTCCTTCCCAGTCTTACACGCTCCTGTTAACTGACAAGGACAAACAGTGATCACGGGTATTTGAATAATGAAGTGGTGAGATGTGATTGGATGAGGTGAACCGAAACGTCATCATCCTTCATTAAGATTGACAGGTGGTAGATTGATCCGACAAACACCTGAAACACACACACCACAACAACAACAACAACAACACCAAACTACCCACATCTCCATATTCCAACACTTTGAATACGTACGAGTACGTAACATATACACTCACCGGCCACTTTATTAGGTACCCCATGCTAGTAACGGGTTGGACCCCCTTTTGCCTTCAGAACTGCCTCAATTCTTCGTGGCATAGATTCAACAAGGTGCTGGAAGCATTCCTCAGGGAGTTTGGTCCATATTGACATGATGGCATCACACAGTTGCCGCAGATTTGTCGGCTGCACATCCATGATGCGAATCTCCCGTTCCACCACATCCCAAAGATGCTCTATTGGATTGAGATCTGGTGACTGTGGAGGCCATTTTAGTACAGTGAACTCATTGTCATGTTCAAGAAAACCAATTTGAAATGATTCGAGCTTTGTGCCATGGTGCATTATCCTGCTGGAAGTAGCCATCAGAGGATGGGTACATGGTGGCCATAAAGGGATGGACATGGTCAGAAACAATGCTCAGGTAGGCCGTGGCATTTAAACGATGCCCAATTGGCACTAAGGGGCCTAAAGTGTGCCAAGAAAACATCCCCCACACCATTACACCACCACCACCAGCCTGCACAGTGGTAACAAGGCATGATGGTTCCATGTTCTCATTCTGTTTACGCCAAATTCTGACTCTACCATCTGAATGTCTCAACAGAAATCGAGACTCATCAGACCAGGCAACATTTTTCCAGTCTTCAACTGTCCAATTTTGGTGAGCTCTTGCAAATTGTAGCCTCTTTTTCCTATTTGTAGTGGAGATGAGTGGTACCCGGTGGGGTCTTCTGCTGTTGTAGCCCATCTGCCTCAAAGTTCGACGTACTGTGCGTTCAGAGATGCTCTTCTGCCCACCTTGGTTGTAACGGGTGGTTATTTGAGTCACTGTTGCCCTTCTATCAGCTCGAACCAGTCTGGACATTCTCCTCTGACCTCTGGCATCAACAAGGCATTTCCGCCCACAGAACTGCCGCTCATTGGATGTTTTTTCTTTTTCGGACCATTCTCTGTAAACCCTAGAGATGGTTGTGCGTGAAAATCCCAGTAGATTAGCAGTTTCTGAAATACTCAGACCAGCCCTTCTGGCACCAACAATCATGCCACGTTCAAAGTCACTCAAATCAACTTTCTTCCCCATACTGATGCTCGGTTTGAACTGCAGGAGATTGTCTTGACCATGTCTACATGCCTAAATGCACTGAGTTGCCGCCAGGTGATTGGCTGCTTAGAAATTAAGTGTTAACGAGCAGTTGGACAGGTGTACCTAATAAAGTGGCCGGTGAGTGTATATATATAGCTAGCTATCATGTAAGTTATATATTTCAAAAATGTACATCACGCAGTTAGCTAACATCATGTATACATTTTAGGCAGAAACAATGAGCTCATTGAAGTAAGTATTACAAGTAATGTATTATTGCATAATTACATAATGATTACAATATATAGACAACTTAGCATTGGTGCATGTTGATTCATAGTTTAATAAATACCATAGAAGAGGTGTAGTCAAGACATTGTATGTATGAATGCTGTTTTCAATGCATTTTTTGGATAAATTAATAGAGACTGACCATTATATTTCTGCCGTTGTCCCGTCCACAGTAAAATTTCATTGGTCCAAAATCCTGCTCCAGCATAAAGGCCCATTCACACCAAAGACGATGATTATAATGTTAACATAAAGATGCATTTTTTTTTTAAATCATTCTAAATTTAAAGGAATCGCAGTCCACACCACACCACAACTATAACAATAATTGGACATTTTTTTCCAGCTCATGAATGATAAAAACCTGATAGTCAAAAAAATGATAGCCAATCACAATCCATCCTGCTGTAAAGAGCACAAGCATTTAAAGTGGCATACAACTAAAATGCAGAACATGCTTATAATAAACATAAAACATAAAATGCTTATGTTGTGAGGACGCTAATATAGTTCTAGTTATCTGCAATGTTCTGCAAAACTTTTTTCTATTGGCGGACATTTTGGCCACCTAAACAAAAATATTCTTTATACCAGACCTGTACTGTGTACGTACCAACAAAAAGTGGTTACATCATGCAGCTGGAACTTTTAACTTTAATGTGCTATTTCTATTTGATTTGACCCTTGATGTAACTTAGGGATATTAAATCATATGTTTGCAGTTAAGTCATACAAGCAGTTAATTCAAAAGTCTCTAAATGAAGCACATTTACCAAGAAATTCTATAAAAAATCATTTTAAAAAATCTCACGCATAATATAATATAATAAAAACGAATTGAATATTTAAACTGATATAATATGTTTATATGCTACAGTTTGTTTTAATATTACATTATATTATATCATATGATGATACTGTATATAATTCATATCATATAATACTGTATATCTCATAACATCATAACACAATATCATATAATATATCATACCATATATTATCATATCATATCATATCACTCAATTTTATTATTCTCACAAGGGGATTGTTTCGGGCTCCTTGCCATTTAAAAGTTTGAAAACCCCTGATAGACAGCAGATATAGATATGGAAACTCCCTTTCTGTCTAATTAGTGTAAGGAAAATGAGTAAAGAAAATGTCCCTATGACATACTCAGAAAATACTCTGATGTCTGTGTCTTGGAAAGGACAAATGTTCTGCACACAATGTCCCATGCAAATGCTTCACGGCCACCTGCTCCGGCAGGACCTCTGCAGTTTTCGATCTCCAGCGTGGCATGTTACGCAACCTTTAGCTATTTGAAACTTGAGCTCTTGCAAATTACATTATTATGATGTTGTTGATCCAGTGGATTTTTTTTTTCTAGGAATTTAACCAAGAAATACAGCCCTAAACGAGGCAGCAAAGAAGAGCAGGAATGCAGGTAATTTTGCACGTTTCAAAAGCTCATTTTCCTCACAATTGTGATGACAATTGAACTATCCAACCTGAACAATGTGCAATCAGAGAATAAAGCTGACAAATCCCCAGTCGCTGTAATCGGTTCACTGTGGTACGCTGAGCTGTGTCTGATGTTGCTACGGTGACTGAGCAGCAGGACCTGTGGGGCCGTTGCCGACGCCAAACAAAAGCACATGAGTTCAACAAACAAGCGCATACACGTGTAAATGACTTTACGTATGCTCCCTCTGGAAAGCTAAACTAATGAAGTCACTCATGGAAATCAGGCACTATTTGAATCAGCCACAGGTGACGAAACAACATTCGCAACACATTGAACCTCTGCAATGTGGCGCATTTACAAGTAAAACATCAGGGTTTGATTGGATTGCGAAAGCTGGCTATTAAATTATTGTTTTGTTTTTTTATACAGATTTTGTATGCATATAGTAAAACTTGTTTGCAACCCCTAATGAGGTTTGATTTTTGAGCCCCCCCCCCCAAAAAAAATTAGTCTTTTCCAAAAATGAGTCTGAAATGAAAGATTCATTGGGGAATGAATGAACACCCATGGCGAAGAGTAGTACTAAGAGAAGGTGTTTATCAGTTAAAGGAGTTGATTTATGGAACAGTCTTCTTATTTCACTTAAGAGCTCTAAAACTATTAATGCATTTAAGAAAAGATATAAGTTAAACATTATGGAAAAGTATAGGGTAACACTTTACAATAAGGTTCATTAGTTAACTACATTAGTTAACATTAACTAAGAATGAACGATACTTCAGCATTTGTTCATCTTTGTTAATGTTATTTTCAACATTTACTAATACTTTATTAAAATCTTGATAACATTAGTTAATGCACTGTGAACTAACATGAACAAACAATGAACAGCTGGATTTGTATTAACTAACGTTAACAAAAACAGTAACAAACGTATTGCTCATGGTTAGTTCATGTTAGTTAATACATTAACTAATGTTTAATAAATGAGCCTTATTGTAAAGTGTTACCAAGTATAGAACACTTGAATGAAGAACATTAGAAAAGGAAGCGAAAGTGGATGCATAATATAATTTTGATTGTTGAAGTTTAAGTTCTGTGCTTACATGTTATCATTTTTGGTATAAGAGAAACCGTAAAATTGTGTCATCTTTGGACATAGTGTTTTTGTTGTAAAAGGGGTTAGGCAAAATAAGTCTTGACTTCATGTATTATTTAGCATTTAAGTTCCTAAGGTACTCATTTTGTATTTATCTTTCTAATGGATTTAAATTTTCTTTTCTTTCTCTATTTGTTTCATTGTTTTATGTTTTTTTTCATTGTATTATGTACAGGATTTTTGAATTACATATGACCTAAGATTTAATTGTTCAAAATGACAGAAGAAAATAACTAACTAACTAACACGAGTTATCACAAATGACTAAAATAAGGCCATAGAGATCTCTTGCATTGTATCTCATTCGTATCACTTTTCTTTAGGTTCTCCAATCACCAGGCCTTTCTGGACGTCCTGAATGAGATGAATGACTATGCTGGCCAGAGGGAGCTGATCGCTGAGAACATGATGATCAATATCTGCATCGAACTCACAAAGTACCTCCAGGATCTCAAACAGGAGCGCAAGATGGTGAGAGAGGCAGTCAGAGAAACTGGGCCATGCTTAAAATAAAGCAAGCTGTGGGACAGAGGGCTGGGAAGGACACAGAGAGGGGGATTGTGGGTAAAAAGGAGAGGCAGTGGAGAACTTGTGAAGAAACATTATAGTCTATTGGGGAGGAAGGCTCTTTTTGATTTGTGCCACACTGTTGATGATCTTCATAAACAACAGTTGATGCTCACCACACAACCTCAGCTGTCTCCTCTTGTTTGTCACTTGGAATTTATGGGACACTGTTTTATTGTCTGTGCTTCCTAAGGCACAAATCACTATTGCCATTGCTCATACTCAGAGTCAGACTTTTAAAACAAATGACTAAACATGAGTATTAAACTCAACCCAACATGTTGTTGATATAGACAAAAATGATACCTCAGATTTGTGAGGTCAATATTCTTTGCTTGAGAGAGGTTTGCTATTTCCTTTCTGAGGGCAGTTTCACACAGAACGCGTTTTTGCTGTTAAAAAATGCATTTTTTTTAAAAGTGAACATTTTAACTTGAGCACTGCATTTTTAGAATGCCGTGTGACGCTGCAAAAGATGCGGTTAAATACGTCCGTCTAGTGTGTGTTTACATTGAAAAACAATGGAAAAATAGCGCAGTAGAATGGAAAAACCAGCCCCGCCTAAGCGATCATATTTTTGCCTGGCAGACGATATAACGGGCTGAAAAAATCACATCACACATAAATCACAAAATCACGCTTGTGGAAGGAGGGTTCATCAGCTGTTGATTGGATGGAGTCTGATTTGAATATTAAGAAAGGGGTGGGGTTTAAGCAGACTGAATGATTAGAGAACTCCCGGCATACATCACCAGAGTTCAGCTTCACTCAAGAGAAGATGGAGTTATGTTTTAAAGTCCCCCTGGCCTGAAGTCAATAATTTTATCCCTTAAAACTCGTCTTTGATCACCAAAAAGAAAAAAAAAAGAAAAAAAGATATCGCTGGCGTTTCTGACGTCACAAACTACCTTGTAATCAATCACGTCAACGTGTGATCGTCAATGAGTGGATCTCTGAGCTGGTGTGAGTGAGTGGAGGCGGGGCTCATTTCACAAACGCCAGCGATTTTTAAACCACATTTTTGAGACTGTCTTTGGTTCACTGCAGTTTTAAGGAGAAAATACTCAACAATGGTGTTGACATGAATTTTCTCATGGTTTGTCTTAAAGCATACTAAAAACACCACATAGACATATAAACAACATTTAAAAGCTTGATTTTCACCACAGGGGGCTTTAATTAAAAATTCTGAAGTCAAGAAAAGAAATGGATGCATGTTTTAGATCTTATTATGAAGGATTTTCATTTAGAAAAATAGATGAGATGAATTTTTATTTCATGCAGACTTTAATCTTATCAATCATGGTTTTCAGTTTTGTACAAGCAAGCACTCATTTTTCTTCAGAAAATCTAAAAATGTGATGTTATGTCAGAAAGCCCAAAGCACAATGACCATGTTTTCTCTCTCTCTCTCTTTCTGTCTATGATGAACAGCATCTGTCAGATGCCAAGAAAGCACAACAGTCTCTGGAGGGCACCTACAAGCAGCTCGACAATGTAAGTTTGTCTCTGTGACAGGTTGTGATGGAGACCCTGTTGTGGGCGGTGTGTCTTTGAGTGTATCATTGAGCAACCAGATCTGACTGGCTCTTGCACCCTGTCAGAGGCTTGCATCACGTCTCTTTGTGGCGTAAGCGCTGACTGTGGGGAGAGAGCTCTTTTGTAGGGGGACTGAAAGTGATTGTTTACCGTTTATGTGCCCATTGTGTTTGTTGAGGTAAGGAATGTAAACAGAAACACATTCAAGTATTTCCATATGCAGTGTAATTTAGCTATTTCAGATAGCTAACAACAGGCAGCTATTTCAGACTTTATTAATGATCACATAAATTCACTATTGACTATTAATTAATAAATGTCCATAGTTACACAATATTCTTTCGTGCACATTATTTTAACGAAAAAAAGTTATTTTAGAATTCTATCTCTCTAAAACTATTATTGTTTTTCAATGTTGTAATCATTTACACAGGGGGGAAAAACAGTGTTAAGGCCCCAATATACGAAATCCAAGAACGAACAGGGGTGCGTTTCCCAAAAGCATTGTAAGTTGATCCATAAACAATTGCCACAAATTGTCTCTACGATCAACTTAGGCTTACGATGCTTTTGGGAAACGCAGCCCTGATGTGACGTCATTTCGAACAAAATCAGGCCAAAACGAAGTTCGTTTGGAGTTCGTTTTGGGAGTTCGAAATGACTTGCCAAAGCGAACTTTCCAGAAAAGTTCACTCCAGCTGGTAAACACCTACCATTGGTTTGTGGCGATTACGTACTAGGCTCCGCCTTCTTTCACGTAGAAATCATGTTGTTCCAAACCAGAATGACTTTCTTTCCTCTTTGGAAAACAAAAGGAGATGTTCGATAGAATATTAATACTGATATTTTCCATGAAATAAAAGTGAGTGGGGATAGATGCTGTTAAGCTACAAAAATACCAAAAATTATTTCAATAAAAGGTCATCAATAAGAGAGGGTGCTCCAAAATTCACATTTAGAAGATGTATGCATTCAAAATTCAACAATGCACTTCAGGAACTTACCATATTGTCTGTCCAATCAAATACTGTCTAGAATCTGAACTGAAGCTTCCCACCTCCTACATGATAAAAGGATGATACAACTGTGCCTGAAATCAATCACTTATTCACACACTTACTCACACTATGTGAACGGCACATAGTGCACTATATAGGAAATAAAGAGCTATTCTGGCAGTGTAAATATGTACCATAAGCATATTTTGATAAAACCGCACTCTTTCAAATGTATATTCAAATATGCCGCATGAATACTCATAGCAGGTTTGGATTTGGTGATGCTAAATGCCTTGATTTATTTGTGTGTAATAGCCAGTAGTAATATGTCAGAGGAACAAAGAAAGTGAGTGGTGATGACACAATGTTAGCTTTTGGGTAAATTATCCCTTTAATGGTTGGAAATAAGAGCATTGTGTAAGTAGTAACCAACAGGAATAGTTTTGATTTTTTTTCCCTCTTTTTTGTTGGTAGAGTAAAAAACGATTTGAAAGGGAGTGGAGAGAAGCAGAAAAGGCTACTCAAAATGCAGAGAAAACAGATCAAGACCTCAATGCTACCAAAGCCGACGTGGAGAAGGTATTTGTTTCCCCAAAAGGTTTCACAGGTGTTGCCGCACCTTTGTATGCACATCTTCCCATCCTGCCATCTCATTTCCATTATATCCAAATGCATTATTGTTGTTTCCTTGTTCCTCTTTATGTGCAGGTGTCTGATTTCACTTTTTTTTTTATCTAACCATAGGCCAAACAGCAGGCACATATGCGAACACACATAGCAGAAGAGTGTAAAAACGACTATGCTGCACAACTTCAGAAGTACAATAAAGAACAGAATCAGTTCTACTTCACGGACATGCCCCTTATTTTCAATGTAAGAAGCACCCGCCTCAGTCCTAACTTGTCGAGACGCATCTGTTCCTGTCAGCTTACTATGGGAATGATCCCAAGCAGTCTTGCAGAGTTTATACTGATATCTATATGCATGTTATTTTCTCTGCAGAATCTGCAGGACATGGATGAACGGCGAATCAAAAAGATGGCACAGGGCTACATCCAGTTTGCAGACACGGAGCGTCAAGTCATGCCCATCATTGGGAAGTGTCTGGAGGGCATTTCCAGAGCTGGCACGAATGTCAACGAGAGGAACGTGAGTCGAGTTGCGTTTCTAAGAAAAACCGAGGGTGTCCAATCCTGCTCCGGGAGGGCCACAATCCTGCAGAGTTTAGCTCCAGTTGTAATTAAACAGACCTGAACTAGCTAATCAAAGCCTTCATGATTACTAGTGTGATTGGGCAGGTTGGAGCTAAACTTAGCCCACCAGGAAAGGGATTGGACACCCCTGCGTTAAGCCAAACACTTTGAGAGAGCAGTCAACCTTCTGCAAACCGACACATAGGGTAGCTAACACTTCTCTGTGTTATTCAGGACTCTGTGGTTCTTATAGAGCAACATAAGTCTGGCTTCGAGAGACCAGGAGACCTGGACTTTGAGGACTATAGTCAGGGCATCAACCGGGCCTCCTCAGAGAGCAGCCTTGGCACTCCTAAAGGTCCCCTAGAGCTGTTGGGGAAGAACAGGAATAAAACCTTCCGGTTGTTTAATAAGAAGAGCAAGGTAGGCTTCACCACTCCATGAAACCAGAGTTCCTTCTGATGAAATTCCTGTGTTCTTTGTGGAGATGTAAAGTTCCCTGCTGGAAAAACCTAGTCATACCAGCCAAAAATGGCCAAAGCTTAGGTAACCATCTCAACCAGATCCCACCAGCTTGTCCATACTGGTCTAACAGCTCTAACTGCTGATAGTCCACCAGATCAACCATCTAAATCAGGGGTGTCCCATTCTGTTCCTGAGGGGCCATAATCCTGCAGAGTTTAGCTGCCTGGAAGTTTCTAGTATTACTGGAGAGCTTGATTTGCTGGTTTAGGAGCAAAGATGTGTTTAGAAAGATGTGTTTAATTTGGGTTGGAGCTAAACTCTGCCGGAAGGTGGCCCTCCAGGAGCAGAATTGGACACTCCTGATCTAAATGAAGCTTGACCAAATTTGACCAGCTAGAGGCAACTTTGAACCCCGCCACCAGAACCATAGATCTTTTGCAGGTTTCTACAGTACCAATTCCTGAAGAGATGTCCAATCCCACTCCTGTAGGACCTCCAGCATACGTTTAGCTCCACACCTGCCTGGACAATTTTAATTATCCTGAAGACCTTGAATAATTGGTTCAAGGTTAGACTCCTGCCCTACAATATGATAGAGGAGAGTCACAGTCTGAAAAGTAACAAAGGGTTGGCTTGAGATGATTTGTGGGAAGAAAAAGTTTCAGGTCTTTGAAAGGTCACTAGAAAAGGTAAAGTAAAGGTATAGAGCTGTGGTCTCTTGCACCCTTTGTCTCCCTGCCACAGCTGAAAGATGCGTGATGTTTAAATCATCTGTCACCTTTCCTTACCCCAGCTCTCAATCTCTCTGACGCACCCAACACAGACGTTTTTCCAGCATACACCCTTTGCATGGCTGTCTGGCTGTAAATGGGGATTGAAAAGCCCCCAGCTCTGTTGTTTAGCTCAGCGTGTGACCTGGTGCTCATTCTGCTGTGTCTGTGCTTTTCTTTGGGACACTGCTGTCTCTGCTATGGGCCTTAACACACACACACTACTGCTATTATATGCTGTATAAAATATCCTTCAGTCCCATCACAATGATACCTTTGTGCACTGTTTGCCATCAGGAAAGATGCTCGGTTGCATCTGGTTAAGTTGTTAAGGAGAAAAATCCTCTTAAAATGAGGGTTGGAGGCAAAGCATTAAAAACATTCCCTTTTCAGTCATGTGATGATTCAGAGCTCGGCATAGGATTCAATGGATCTTTCTTTGTCCCTGTGGCCTATATAGGTCTGAAGTGTTTTCTAGGAACACTTCGCCTTCATATTAATAATATCATTTCCTGCTCCTCCAATAATCTTATTTCCTGCTTGTTCAATGCTTGGCGTTCTTCACATGACCCTCAGCGCTTCCTCTGCCAGCCTTCCTGAGCTTGCCAGCTTAACTGTCCAGTCTTGTCTTGTTTAATTTCAGTCCTAATCATTGTGCAGATCCATTCTTTACCTTGCGAGTAAGGAAATATCATGGAGTTTTTGTCGTGTTTTACAAAAGTTGCACCGCAAATCTAATTCCCTCTTCCTTTACCCTTAGTCGTGTAGATCAAACATCTTTGACGCTTTACTTTTTGCTCACCGTGCATGTTTGCTTTCCGGCTGAGACAGTCGCAATGTCGAGAAGCTAAAACCAATTTAAGGGGAAATACTTATTTTTAGCACCAAGCTGTCATTCGTTTAGCCATAAAACTTGTAGAGGATTGTTTGATGCAATTGTAGGTTTTAAAACTTTTAAAAAGTTATTGTATCAGGGTGAAGCTTATTTGCTCTGTTCCACTTTGTGAACTGCCCACCTAGAACACTTAGAAAAGGGTCACAGGTCCTCCTAATGTGAAAAATATTTCAAAATTATGCTGCAATATAAGATGTCTTACTAGCATCAAATTTAGCCTACAACAATAATCCCAGATTGCAATGTATATCTTTTTTTAAAAGTAGTTCCATCTAATTAATACATGATTTCATCCAATATTTGTGTATTGTTTTTTTTTGATAAGTCAGTTGTTTTTGAATCAACATGTGAGCATTAATTGAGTTTCTTGTGTGCTTCAAATACTTTTTGTGCTTATTAGAGTAACTAGTATCTTAGCTATTGTCAACTTCTTATGGAATCAACTCTTGAGCTGTAGATTTACCTCTGAGGTTGTCTTTGTAGGGAGCTCACTTTTGAAAAGAGCAAGTGTGCACAGCTTATTCACTGAATTATCAGGGCTCCTTTAATTTTTAGTCCATTTTGTTGCAATGCAATCCAACTTTAACCTCTGAATGTTAATTGGGCAAAAAGTGGCTCCACTCATTACATCCATAGTGGGGCGTAAAACAGTAATAGTTGTGTAGATTGTTTACATTGACTATTCTAATGCTGCCTACAGTGCAAATTCTTCTGGAAAAGCGTATGCATTTGGTTATCACAAATTCAATGTGATGTGCTCTCAAGAGAATTTGGTTTGAGTGAAATGGACATTTTTGGCATAATTTCTGCATTTTTTTTCTGACAAAGACCAGAACCTTTTTAGAAAATGCAGTGGATTCGCTGTAGGCGTGTAATTTATGCCTTGTTTTTTTGTGTCTGTTTTCATGCTGCCACATAAAAAGAAAAGAAAATTGGGCTAGTAATGATGTTTGGGTAGTGATGGGTAGTCCTGTCACCTCAATTTTTTTTAGAAAGCTTCATAATTGTTTTTCATCAACATTAAGCAAAGTTTGCATAGACCATAGTTGTGTAATCTACATGACCTTAAATTGTGGTGCCATTCATGTATGTCCTTACAATCATTCCTGCATCTCTTGAAGGCCACATTATCCATTGAACAAGCCAAGACTTTTATTGTTTTCTGATGGAGCCATTGTTTGCCTCTTCATCTGGCTGATTGCTTTGCTGGGGCTTGTGGATTTGGGGCTGTTGTGGGTTTGGGTTTTCTTTGTCTTGCTTCTCTTGGCTCTTGCTAAGGTTGGTCCAGTGTTGTCCTCGTTGCTGTTTTGATGTTGCTTTGAGGTGTTTGATGGTGTCTCTTTATTTTTCCCTTGTCATATGTGTTTTTTGTTTGTTTTTACCCTCCCCCCTATCCCTCTCCTGCCGTCCTGTCCCTGTGTTCCTCTGGGTTTGTGCCTGGTGTCTGTCCCAGCTTCCCTCGTCCTCGCTCAGTCCTTTCTCCACACCCCCCACCCCCTCGCCCGCTAACGGACCCCCTTCCCCAAAGTTTGGCCGGGACCCCCTGTCGTACTGTTTGAAGGAAATCAATAAGACAGTCAAACCCCGAATCTCTTCCTTCCGGACCCTCAAGAGAACGGTGAGTGTGACCGGTCAGGGATCAAGCAAGTTTGCTACACCTGCTGTTTTTGGCACGTCTCTTTAAGGCGTTCAGCAGCACTAGATTGATCTGGGTCTGAGTAGTGGTCACATGCACATGAAATGAAGTAGAAATCACAGCTCTTTCACCACTCATCTTCCACCACAACAGCACCAACTTTTCACCTATTCCTGCCACACTCCTCTAGTACACTTATAACACCTACTGAGTTGTAGCTAAGGCTGACATCACAGCTAAGCCAACTCGAAAGAACTGATAACAGTAGGAGATGTAACCTACCGAATGCTGTGGCTGATATCTCAACCTCTTCTGGCAGTGAGTCTTTCACACTCCGCGATTAAGAATGAAAGTTTGGTGTCAAATATTTCTTGCGGATATTTCCCATGCATTTCAACGTCCCATATTGGCATCAAATCAACATGAAGCTTGCTGAAATAAGAACAGGAGAAAAGTCTGGATTAGAATGCACTTCACATAGTAACTTTGTCCTTTGAGTGAGTGTGATTGTGTGTTTGTCCCTCTGGAGCTTGTAGTATGTTCATGTTTTCCAGCATAACTTGTCAGCTTATGTGAAAACATTACTTAATTAAAATAAAAGTAGACTGTTATGCCTTTGCTTTCTTATTTTGTTGCCCATGTAAGTTCAGGGCGAATGCCAAAAATGCATGTTTACACAATCGCGGTCGACAATGGTCAGCAATTTTATGCTTTTTGGATGAGATTTGAGCATGTCAGTCGTTGAAGCAGAGCTTATTGGTTATGCACATCTACTAGGGCTGTGCAAATACAATCATGTTTCATGATATTGCATGATACTTCAGGGTTCCTACAAGAAGCTTAAGATCTGAAATCAGCGTCTCTCACTGCAGTCAGAGCTGCTTTTTGTAAGATCCAGAACTAGACAAAAGTGAAGTGACCAGCATGAGAGACACTAAGAAACAGAAGGAAAAAAATTGACTAGTGTGATGCCAGCGTATAAAGCACTGTCTGTTTATTTCTCTCTTTCTTAGTTTGCTCCAGAGAAGCTTAAAATGGTATGGGCCGTACTTGCCGTATACATGTGTATTTCACTTCCTCTGTCTTTATTGGATTTTTTTTCTTCTTCTGAGGATTTTCACATATGACCACCTCTACATCTGCTCTAAAATGACAGATTTTCTATCATTCACTATTGTAGAGGTGGCCATTCTCAGTAAAAGGCACAGAAGGCTCTGGGCTTATTAACCGCACACACTATACCATGGCTCTTAAACCGTGACAAGCCATTCCAGGGTGAGACACTGCAACACAAAGGCATATAAACACATAATGTATGCATTGATGCTTAAGCCAGGATGTTATGGTGTACTATATTGGACATGTTTTAAAGTTGCATTTATAAATCTATGCACGTGGTTTAAATGCATTGAGGGTTGCTCAAAGGAATATTCCTGGTTAAATTAAATCTGTACCCTATTGACATCATCTCTCCCTCGGGTTTGTAAAAACAATTGAAAACGGCAATACACTTTTGGAGGAGGTCTATGGGGCAAGTCTACAGCACTATGAATAAAAGCTAAAAATATGAAACTGTCACGCTTTTTTGATCGTGTATCCATTATATCATCATTCAACTAACATTAGGCTAGTTCTGCTATTAAACCAGTCTGCTCTAAGTAATATCCAACTTTAAAATAAAATATAACTTTAAAGTCTAGCACAGGCGCTCGACACATGCACAAGAGAATGTTTCATCCTTGTCCAGTGTCTGCGATATTTGACTGTAACTTCTATCTCCAAAAGTTATGACTGTCTTTTGTACTTGTTAAAACTAAAGTTGCTGTTGTTGTATTCCGTCTCATCTGTTTCTTTTTTTGACCGTGAAACGGCAAGCCTAATTACCCCCCCCCCCCCAAAAATTCAAGATACACGTATGTGCAGGTTAGAAAAATCCAGCTTTGCACATACAGTACATGTGAGTATATGCTGATGATAAAATTTACGTCACGCACTGTACGCATATAGTGTATGCATAAAAAGCCCAAACTTTCAAGTGCACACATGTCGGCATTCAAAGGAAGTAATCAATATGAAATATTTTACTAAATATTGTTGTTCAAATGGACTCATTTAACACATCCGTCCCGCCCTAGACCTATTTCATACAGTTGATGGTGGCAAACTAATGCAGGGCGTCATGGTGCACGTTTTTAGTGAATAAATCGGGTGAACCAATGATTCAATGGCCCATTCATAAAGAAAGCCACTTGCTTAATTCCTGAATGAATCAGCTGTTTCAATTAATCGAGTGAATCAATGACTTACTCATTTAGACATTTACTGCCACCTACTGGCAGTTTTAGTTTCTTATTTAGAGTATCATTTCATTAAAAAAAGATTTCAGTTACCATTTTAATAAAAAGCCCATCAAAGGTATAGTTCATCGGAAATGAAAATTCTGTCATCATTTACTCACCCTCGTGGTCGTTGAAGCCTAAACGTTTAATCAAATAAAATAATTTGGTAACACTTTACTTGAAGGGGTGTACATAAGACTGACATGACACCTTCATAACCATGACATGACATATGTCATGAATATGAAGTAGGGTTTATGCATGTTTATGACAACTGTCATTAAGTGTCTTTCGCTCAATAACATTTTGAATGCAAATATGACATTGTTTAAGATGTCTTTGTTATGACACCTTGACATAAACCATAACATCATAACCTGTCAGTGTATTTGTCATGACAACTTGACATTAAATTAAGTTAAACTGTCATGTGGTTGGTTTTGACATTGGCTGTCATAAGGCCATTATAACTGTGTCATGAATATTTTTCATGACCTCAACTACAGTGGTACAAATTAAATTTGTCATTAAACAGTTATAATGGCTTCATGACAGCCAATGTCAAAACCAACCACCTGACAGTTTAATGTAATGTTAACCAATAAAGCTAAGTGGTTTCTTAAGTTTGATAATTAAACTGCTATGTCATGTTTATGACAGGTTGTGTTGTCTTAGTAATCTCAAGTTGTCATGACAAAGACACTGACAGGTTATGATGTATTGGTTTATGTCAAGGTGTCATAACAAAGACATATCAAACAATGTCATATTTGCATTAAAAATGTCATAATTGAGCAAGTGACACTTAATGACAGTTGTCACAAACATGCATAAAACTTCCTTCATATTCATAACATGTGTCATGTCATGATTATGAAGGTGTCATGTTAGTCTTATGCACACCCCTTCAAGTAAAGTGTTACCAATAATTTTTCTAAAGCTACTTTTTGTAATGTCGATATTGTGCTATTTAACACAATATGACTTTAAATTATCTTATGGGGGTAATTTCTCAGCCAAATTTGACATACGATTAATTAGCGATTTAAGATTAATTAACATCGTGTGATTTAATTTGTTTAAAAAAATTAATCGTTTGACAGCCCTACTAAATATATTTCATGTAACTGTGTTAACATAAATATTAGCTTCACAACTCTGCCTTTAAACCCCTCCGGTCACTATTCCTTTACAGAATAGTCGACAGCATGTCACAAATTCTGTTCAAAAAGCTTGTTTTATTTAGCCCAGAACATTCTTTTGAGTAAAACTGCTTATCACCCATTTAAGCATGTCTTACTTGTCATAAATGAAAAATGTGTTGCCAAAATCTTGTTAAAGCATACAGCTTAAGTGGAACAATTGTAACAGGCGGTGTAATTACCCTGGTGACGAATTGCTACGTTGCATCTTTTGCTACTGCAAACCTGAACTCTTACTGTTGGGTCTCTGGTTCACGTCTTTCACGGCTTATCTCGTGGTGTTGGTGGGGTTGTGTGTTAGTGTGAATCTCTGTGAGTGACTCTATCTCCCCCGATCTCTCTCAGCCTGTGGACACGGAGGGTTTCACCCATCTTCCTCCTGAGCAGCGCAGGAAACGCTTGCAGCAAAAGATCGACGACATCAGCAAGGAGCTGCAGAAGGAAATGGATCAGAGGTGAGTCGCCTCTCCGACAACCATCTCTATGGCAACCGGCCACAGCTGAATCCTCAGGGTTACCGGGGTCTGGGCTTTGTTTACTAAGCTCTTCAGGTCTCTAAGGAATCAGTGGCGTTGAGTGCCACGAGTAACCGTATCTGTTTGTTCTTTGTCTTTTACGATCAATCTCTTTCTATCTTAATATCTCTCTGCAGTGAGGCTCTGGGTAAGATGAAAGATGTATATGAAAAAAACCCTCAGATGGGAGATCCCGCCAGTTTGGCACCTCAGATCACTCAGACGGCACAAAACATGGAAAGACTGCGAGGAGATCTCAACAAATATGAGGTTTCAGTTTTAACACTGTCTGTAAATCTTCATCCGCTTCATAAAGACTTTCTCAGCACACTCACGTCTTGGTTTTGGTTTGTTGTAGTCCTGGCTTGCAGAAGCAGGCGGCCGGGGAGACTCGATACGATACTCCACTCACTCTCTGAACAATAACGGTGCTCACAACCCCGGCAGGTCAGTTTTATTTCTGATTATGGTGTGTATTCGGATTAAAGGGGGTCATCGGATGCAAAATTCACTTTTATATGGTGTTTCCCTTTTGTATGGTCCATTCACTCCTTTTTTATTTAATCCTCAAAAAGCCTAAACACTCTTAATAATCGAGCCGTTTGGATTTTCTGAGCAATGTGATGTTATATTGCTCATGCTCCGCCCACGACCACTGACGGACTGTCCCCTATTAGCATATTTCCACCCTCAGGCATTTGTATACTGTCCACCAAGCCAGGACTTTACATGTCTTGTGTCGACGCCCCATGGAAGAGAGGGGTGGGGTGAGCAGTTGCTCATTATCATTTAAAGAGACAGGTCGCTGTGAACAGAGCTGTTTTTGAGGAGGTAAAAGGGTGGTGTTTTACATAACCATTGAGGAATTTTAACCAAAGTATGTTACAAACGTTACATGAAGACCCTGAAGAATCATACCAACTTGTGGAAAATAGGCATCCGATTACCCCTTTAAAGTGATATTCCACCCAAAAATGAAAACCATCACTTATTCACCCTCAAGTTGTTCCAAACCTGTATGGGTTTGTTTCTTCTGCTCAACACAAAAGAAGATATTTTGAAGAATGTTGGTAACAAACAGTTGATGGACCCCATCAACTTCCATAGTATTTTTTTTCCTACTATGGAAGTCAATGGGGTTCATCAACTGTCTGGTTACAGACATTCTTTAAATGATCTTCTTTTGTGTTCAACAGAAGAAAGAAACCCATACAGGTTTGGAACAACTTGAGGGTGAATAAGTGATGATAGAGTTTTCATTTTTGGGTGAACTATCACTTTAATCCTTCTGAAAAAGAGTTTTTTTTTCTTCTGCTTCACATCTATTGGAATATTAAACTGGTCTACAACCAAAATGCTCTTGAAATGAATGTAGTCAAACTTCACTAATTCTGGGTCATTGAGAAAAACAAAACAATGCTTAAAATTGTTGATTGGCTCTAGTTTTCAAGATATACTATTGGGCTAGTATATGACCTTGACTTGGGAATGGCGGAGGATGAGTAATAAAGGGAAGGGATCTCAACAGAAATGACTAAAATACATCTTTGACTGGATCTATGAATATGACTGGGTTCGGTCAGTACTTGCTTTATAGGCAAAACAATGAATGATGCCATCTGAAGCTGGTGTTACGTCATACATGATATGAATTGCATCATGTTGGATGTGTCTGAAATCGCCCCCTAAACCCTCATTCACTATTCCCTACATTAGTCCACTAATATAGTTTTCTTCGAAAGAGTAAATGAAAATGAGCGAGTGAATTCGGACACTGAGTGCGCCGGAAGGGCTGTTGCTTTTGAATAGTTTGTGCTTGCCGTTTAATAATTTTTTAAAACTTAGCAAACTGGCAGCTCCAGTAGTAAGATGAAACGTCAAACTGTCATGGAAACAACTATGTATAAACCTTAATTAAACAATTTAGTAATCAATTAAAAATTAATTTACACCTGTGTGATATTACGCACAGCCACATTGGACCAGCATTTTGGAAAATGTATGATTTATCTGCAGGCGCCATCTTCTGGTCAGACACGGGAATTAATTCGGCGCTCTACTCTCACAGTGCATTATGGGTATTCTCTAGCCGTTGAGCGTACGTCGGTTGTACATCGGCACTCGATAACATCCACTATGGTTTTGGACCCATTTAAGGGTAAAGGGGGCGATCTCAAACGCAACCGTTATTCCTAGAAGTCATGGATGATGCAATCATAACAAAGCTTACGTCACTCTGCTGAACAATTTGCCCTATGTCAGCTTGTAGGAATCATACAACAGGGGTGCAAAACTCAATTCCTGGAGGTCCACCACAGTCCTACAGACTTTAGTTCCAATACGCAATCCTGTAGTTTTCAAATAAGCCTGAAGGACTAGATGAGCTGCCTGGATCAGGTGTGTTTTATTGGGATTGAAGCTAAACTCTGCAGGGCTGTGGCCCTCCAGGAACTAAGTTTTGCACCGCTGTCATACAGTGTCTTAAATTGTCAGTGTTTGATTTTGCAAAGGGGCACATTTTCAAATGGAGCCCATCAAAGCTTGCAGATTATTGCTGGACAGTGACAAAGAGATGCTCCATTTAATGAATACAAGAGACAAGCCAAGAAGCGCATAGTAGACACTGATTAGGACTAAACTATGCACATTATTTTTTTACCTTTTGATTTATATAACCCTTTTGCAGATTTTTAAAGGGTTACATAAACGGGTGACGGGTACTATCTACTACACAATACACATACAGGTGAAACTCGAAAAATTAGAATGTCATGCAAAAGTAATTTTATTTCAGTAATTCAACTTAAAAGGTGAAACTAATATATTATATAGACTCATTACATGCAAAGTGAGATATTTCAAGCCTTTATTTGTTATAATTTTGATGATTATGGCTTACAGCTTATGAAAACCCCAAAGTCAAAATTAGGTTTTCATAAGCTGTAAGCCATAATCATCAAAATTATAACAAATAAAGGCTTGAAATATCTCACTTTGCATGTAATGAGTCTATATAATATATTAGTTTCACCTTTTAAGTTGAATTACTGAAATAAATGAAATTTTGCACTATATTCTAATATTTCGAGTTTCACCTGGCTGTAGATGTAAAATGTGAAAACTTAAATATCTTTGAAACAGCCAGTTGTTTTAATTGTCATATTTGAATTCAGCACATTAAAATACATAATAAATAGCACATTTTATCTCGGAGGCAGACGATTTGTAAAAATGTAGACCAGTGTTATCAGCATGTTTCCAATAAATTCCAATTGCATGTTGTTTTCCTTCTACTCTCTTGTGTAAATACCATTATATTTTATTCATTATTATGAATCCTATAAGTAATTTAATCAACTCATTATCATTTGTGTCCTTGACAACAGCACACAAGAGTGCAATGAATAGCAAAATGTAGGATGTGATTTCACTGTGTTAATAAAAAACTAAATAAGAAAAATTCCCTAAATAATAAAGATACACAATTGGAACAGACACACTTTAGAAGCTAGAAGTTATTACATAAAAAAAAAAAATCACAATTAAATTGAAAGTCAGATATGTTAGTAATGTTTTGCCTTAGTTTCTTTCTATCTCTCTCTTGTTGCTATTATTATTATTATTACTGTGTAATGTTGAAGTCATAACTTTGCTTTAGTACAGAATGAGTCATTTTTACACCCCATCTGGGCACTGGGAAATAAATGATGAGTTTTGACAGTAATAGCATGTTGTCATAGTAGAGCAAGCTCTTCTCAAATGATTAAGGAACATTAATTTCCTCTTAAATGTTTGTAATGCGTCATTTGAGTTCTCGTAGCTTCACTTCTCTTGTTGTACTCAAATTACTTAGTAATGCGGATACACAGAGATATAAATAAACACAGAATTCAAATAAGCAGGAATATGTCAGCAGTCTTATTCAGATTTTTTTAGAAACCGTAACATAATGTTAATCTGGTCAAGGCGATTAGATTGCATCTACATAATCAGAATTGTCCTGTGCTCTTTTTTTTTTTTTTAGTCCTGGAGCTCTCTCAGATGACACGGACCCCTCCCATGCCATCTACACCGAGTTTGATGACGACTTTGAGGAAGAGGAACTCGCCGCACCTATTGGTCAATGCACAGCGCTCTATAATTTCCCAGGTATGATTACAAGGTATCGCACAAGCAATGGCGAATATCATATCCCCACCACTTGTCCTCTGACACTCGCCTCCACCATCATCCATCTGTCAACAGGCTCCAGCGAAGGAACCATATCCATGCAGGAAGGAGAGGTGCTGTCTGTAGTGGAGGAGGACAAGGGCGATGGGTGGACGCGGGTGCGCCGGAACAACGGGGACGAGGGCTACATCCCAACAACTTATGCTACCATCGCGCTTAACAAATGACCTTGTTCCCCTTCAACCCGCTGCAGCAGAGATGCACTATAACAAACACTATGAGTAGCTTCAGATTAACACTCATTATGTCCCAACACGGCTTGCTGCTCCGGGGGGATCACCGCACAATGGGCTAATACACTCCTCCTCTAAGGATGAATGAGTATCTCAGGGTGTGTGTTATGTGAGTGAATGAGGTACAGGAGGTTGGAATCATTTTTCTCCTTGTTTTGCATGGAAAACAATGCAGGAGGGTGCCATGTACTCACAGCTATTGCTCAACAGACACATCAGTTCCCGTGGCGACTCTGTCTGATGGTGACTTTTAAATGCAGTCTATCAGCAGAGCCATGATCCACTCAACTTGTCCTCCACGAAGATCTTCCATCTGCCACCTGGATGATGTGATTTGGCAACTGAAACGAAAAGCATAACTATCTCTGCAGGCAGAAGTCCAGCTCAAATGCACCGTTTTTAACTTGAAGTATTTGCTTTAAAGATCTGAGTGGCCAAAAATGATATTTTACAGCAGTGAGTGTTGCATATGCTTCAGTAAGTCTGCAGTAACATGAATGCCACATCTATAAGTCGATAAGACCTAACATTTCCCAAGTAATAAGTAGCTCCTTTATTGTTTCTCCATAAGACTGTTGCACAAACAGTTGATGTACTCGGCAGCAGTACAAAATTATGACAATCAAAGTCTCATAATCTGCAGAGAAAAGCCACCGTTCTCAAATCTACAGATATGTAGTACAATAAATAGTTTGTTGCAATAAAAGAATATAATTTATTGAGTATATAAATAAGTGTTTGTATATTAAATAAACAGTAAATCACATTTATATAAGAGGAAACTGCACACATTTGCTATTTCAGATTGATCAACAATGCACAGTGTACTAGCAACTAAGAAAAACTATTCTAGGTAACAAAAGCAAATTTCGGTTTTTCATATATATATATATATATATATGAAATAATATATTTTAGGCATCACAACACCACTATTGTCTTATTAGTTTTTTATTCTTGATGAATAAAGATTGTATTGTTAAGAATAGAGTTCTAAATTCAAGGGTTAAAGTCTCATTTCAATATTTGTTTTGTTTGTCTTTGATTGAATCCAAGGCAGAACTGTTAGTGTTTGTCTATGTCAAGGTGCCTTCAACTTTGTGTGTGTGTACCATACTCAAAATACACTTATTTTATTGTCTTTATAAATGTCAAGCACATTTCCAAATTGACATGATGTTTTGTTTTGTTTTTGGGTGAAATTCTCAATTGAAAGGGATTTTTAAGCAAGCCATATAGCTTTTGACATGAGTTCTTGATTTTAGCTGCAATTAGTAAAAATTGATTTCACATATTGAGGTCACGTGATCATAATATCATTGTTTTTCATAGTTTACAAGTGCCGCCTGCTGGTAATAGGGGATTGAAGCTTGTTAAAGGGATAGTTCACCCAAAAGTGAGAATTTTGTCATCATTTAAGCGTACTCACCCTCGAATTGTTCCAAACCTGTATGAGTTTATTTCTTCTGCTGAACATTAAAAAAAGAAGATTTTTTTTTTCAATAATTTTGAAGTACATAGGTAACCAGTTGTTTAAACCCCATTGACTTCCATGTTATGGAAAAAAAAACTACTATGGAAGTCAATGGGGTCCATCAAGTATTTGGTTATCGACATTCTTCAAAATATCTTCTTTTGTGTTCAACCGAAGAAAGAAACTCATACAGGTTTGGAACAACATGAGGGTGAGTATGATGACAGTGACAACTCTTTGAGCTGGCATAGCCTATTTCTGAAATCAAATTAGATGCTCTGAGTGCTTAATGATCACATTAATAATCCAAAATGACTGGGATAAGAGAGCCGAAAGATACAGTAAATCATTACAAAAACACAAATACTAAATCTAAATCTTTAAAAACCCCTTTTGACAAGTTTTACATTTTCTATTGAAAAGAGCTACAACTGCTCAGTTTTTAGTCGTAAAACATGGAGGAGGAAATCATCTTCGAGCCATCTTTTTGGAAATGTATTTTATGTTAATAAAACGTATCTATAATTTATTTTACTAATAAATCGAGTCGTAAAACGGGTAATATAGGCTACGCCCAATTGTGGCAACCGTAAACAACAAAGTTATGCTTTTTCGGCTAGGTGTATTCTGATCATTACTTCAATCAATAAATGCTTATATTTATTGATCATTGGCCTTTATTATTAAACGTTATTATTTCAAAAAGTCATTTCACGTCGTGCAAAAGAATAAATCTTGAACAGTGGTAAAATAATCACGAGCTCTCGTGGTTAATTGTTTTATTGAAAGGTTTCCAACAGGTGGCAGTGTTGCACAACAAATCTAAACTGGACCGTAGACTCGACCCGCTCATACATACATTTGCAACATATTTGAAATAATGTTGTCCATGTACAGACCAAAAAAAACAACAGACACGTCTTGGAGTCCAACTAAAATTATTCAAGGTAGTTGAAAATAACTGACAAACGCCAAGAGTGATGTTTTGAAGACGTGCAAATCTGAATAGCTGCCAAATATTATAGGGTGATATAAATGTCTATAGCCTATTTGACAACTCGCTGTATACACTGAGACCGTTAAAGCCTTCGGTGTCTGTTAGTATTTAAGGACTCGGCTTCGATTATTAAGGTGTGACTTAAGGACTCATCATGCACTTGCTTTTTCCAGATCCTTTTCGCAAACTAGCCTATATTGCAACAAATACGCGAACGACTCATTGCAATGGGCTTTTCTAATTAAATTGCTAAAAATCTTAAACGTGTTATGAATATAGTCACAAAACATCAACGAAAATATACGTGCATTAAAGAACAAAAACAATGCAAATGCCTTTGATGAAGCAGCATACAAGGTCTGGGTGTGTTCGCAATACATGTATTGACTGAATTGAGAGGGACTTGAGTTTCATAAAAATGATTTTCGACTGTGGAATCATCAGAATCCCTGCTTCTTTTTCCACTTGTTCAGTATCAGTGCTGGTCTAGAGGGCGCCAAATCTAAACAGATGTAGGCCTAGGCTACAACGAGCTATAGTAGCTCCAAATTCCCTAAAATGCTGTGATCTTAACCTCAGTTAAATATACATTTTATTTGAATTTGTGGAATATAAATAGCCTACTAATAAGTGTGTTTTTTGCATATCAAATGTGGATGAATCTGAGTTATATAGTTACCCTCCCCCCTTGTTTTGTAGGTGTAGGCCTACAATTATCAAGAGGAAAAAACAAAAGCTTCGACATCTGTCTCTAGGTTATGCAATCATGTAGCTAATGTAAGACCATTGCCTAATTTAAGCATTTTTTTTTTGTTTAAAATAGGGTGTTTAAATAGGGTAATTTACTGTGTAGCCTAAAACTTTAGGCTACGTGGTGTTCTGGGCCAGTTACATAAACAGTCATTAACACAGTGTCTTAAAGTGATAGTTCACCCAAAAATAAAATTTTTGACAAATTGTTGGTAACCAGACAGTTGATGGTAACCTTTGACTTCCATCGTATTATTTTTCCTACTATGGAAGTCCATCAACTGTCTGGTTACCAACAATTTTTCAAAATATCTTATTTTGTGTTCAACAGAAAGAAACTCGTACAGGTTTGGAACAACTTGAGGGTGAGTAAATGATGACAGAATTTTCATTTTTTTGGGGTTAGTATAAACCTCCAAACTATGTTTTTACGTATCTGACTCAAAAAAAGTTTAGAACTGTCTAAAAGGGGAAAAAATGGATGACTAACTTGTCTTAGTGGTTTATGCAACCGGCCCCTGTGCACTACAAGAAGCAACAAATTCTGACTTCACTGGAACTCAGAAAAAGTGCCCCAGTATTTGGGATAACTTTCAATGTAATACACTGTTTATGTTAGCATATAATCAAACTACTTGAATTAAATTAATTATTACTTTTAGGTTGAAACATTTTGTGTGGCAGGCAGCCCTTGCTTTGCAGTGACAGTCATCATCACCTCACCAACACTTCTGTTGCACAGGGGATTGTGGGTAATACCTAAAAAAAAAGCATACCTGGATGCAGACTTCAAAAATCCACCTGAAATAGTATCCGAGCACCTTTGGAATACTATTTTGAACATAGTCTGCTGTTTGAGACAGAAACATTCTGTTCTTGCGTGCTATTTGGGACAGATACACAATTCAAGGAACATACCTGTTGCTCCATTTCTTTATTCCCTCATGTCCACAGCCCTGAGGATTCTTTTTAGAAATCACATCTCACTGCCTGCCCAAAACATGACATTTGATTGACCTTTATAAATGCTTTTTATAAGTGCACTTTGCTTGCTTCCATAGAAGACATTGTTATAGATCCACTAGCTACTCTCAGCAGTGAGTCAGTACTCGAATACAACAGTGGTTACTTCTATTACAGCTAATTGCATGCTTTTTGCAATTAACCCAATTATCCGGGCCGTTCCTTATGTCAGAAGTTCAGAACACATACGTAAGTGGAATTTGTCTCCAGTATTGAAAAGGAAGATTGCATGACCTATTCAATAAAGACGCTTTTGTTACTTTTTTACGACATAAAAACTTGTGTTAGGTACAACTTAATAGGTTGGCAGACTACCATAGTATTTTTACTTTCATTGCTATAAACAGACACAGGCTTATTGTACTGCTTAACACATGTAGGCCTACTTTACATGCATAGATTTCAAAATGAAGCATTAAACTGGTCTGTAATTATGCAGTAGTATTTATATTGACATTTCACACATTTATTAATGAAATAGAGTGCTGTGCTGATGAGGGACAATTACTGATCCAAAGAAATGCTATTTTGCTGTGAGTTGCAAAAAGCACAAAAAGAAAAGAACTTCAAGTTTGCTACTATAGCAAACTATTCAGCAGAATCAGATCTTTTATTAAAGAAATATGTAATGAATTACAATTGGCCTATGATGATTATATACATTTTGTAAAGTTTTATACAAAATAGCAACGGATTCAGGTCCTTGATGCTGATTGGTCAATTCCGTTACAACAAATAGATCTCATAGCAACATAAACAATCAATATACAGTCAAAACTTGTTCCATGAATTATGCATTTCAGCCAAATCAGCTGTTTATTATTTATTTAATGAAGTGTTTGCTGGCGTTACTTGTAGTCATTAAAGGTCCACTGAAGTGCCTTGAAACGCACAGCATTATTCAATAGGTGTGTTCGACATTCGCTGCGGCTGGATGTAACGATCGGTGAGAGTTGGCGAGTGCAGGCGTGGAGGAGCTGAAAACGGAGACGTGAAGTCGGACACTTTCT